CACTTTAAGCAGCAAATGCAGCAGTAAAATAAAAATATATAAGAATATAATAAGAGAATGTATGCTGCATGGGAGCAGCATGTGCAGCAGTCAACAGTCAATGTGCAATTATGCATGTGCACACAGAATGTAAACAGTACATCATGTATTTCCTGGTAATAAACTCCTCAGCTGTTTAGGAGTCTGATGGCAAAGGGAAAGAAAGTTTTTCAGTCTAGAGGTCCTACACTTCACACTTCTGAACCTCTGGCCAGAGGGTAGGGAGGTGAACAGTCCATGCTGGGGGTGGGTGGGATCTTTGAGGATGGAGGCAGCTACGCATCATTTTGCGTTTTCCTGAGGTATAATTGTGTTTTTACTCCTGATTATATCTTCCTATGTGGCCAGAGGTGGTAGGATATTTAGTGGCTGTTGTGTACATGTACTGTAGTAGTTTATCGCATTTTAGTGTACTCTGATCAGTTGAATACCCAGTTTTTACATCACACATGAACACTTTATGGACATGGTAGTAACAAATAATGAAGCCACTGTCACATGTTTATTCTTTTTTCTTCTTTGAAACAGGACAAGCTTCTGGACGCCTCCACAGTGACCCACCTTTTTAGAATAACAGATAATATTGGATGTGTTATGTCAGGGATGACAGGTAAGTTCATGTCTGTTTTTATTGCAATAAAAAATATTAAATTTGATTTTTTTTTAAATCTGTAATGCAAATGTTTCAGTTATAATTGAACTTAAAAAATATTTTCATTGCAGACACTGTAGCTTATCCATATTCTTACTCTGGGGTACCTGCTAATCAGTGATCAGTGTTTGGACAGATGTTTATGTGATTGACTGTCAAGCTAATCAAAGAGCTGATGGGACATTCCTCTGTACTGTCAGCATGCTAGTTACACCCAGAGTGGCTTAATGTCTTTTATTCAACCTTTATTTTACAAGGAAGTCCCATTGAGACAAAGTTCTCTTTTCCAAAGAAGACCTGGCCAAGATGGCAGCCATCCAAATTTACAACATTAAAATTCAAAGCATACAACACAATATACAAAAAATCCATTCATAAGATAAATAATGACAGCAGACAGAAGATAGAACAAATATGGTATATTTTATAGCTAAAGAATTAGTTAACCTAGCTAACAAAGATACTAATGTACTAATTGCATTAGCCTTGGAAGCTGGACTATGGTAAAGCTGCAATGATATTAACAGATTCTAAGTTCCCAGAACAATAAGCCAAGCAAAACATGGTTAAAACACAAATGGCATCTCTTTCCAACTGTAAGGTAAAAAACAAGCTACAACCCAGTTTTCATAGCAATGAACTGTCCTCCAAACTTTACACCTTCACTGAACATTAACAGTGGTCTCTGTGCAGCTGGCTGTGAGACCGGCGTGCAGGGACCGTCTACAAAGTGCAACACCGAAAAGAGAGACCCTACCACAAAAATATTAAATAATTCTTATATAGTGTCTAAGTCTACAGTCAAATTCAGTCCAGCCGCCAGGGGCCTCCTCTTGGTTAAATTAAAACACTCAAATTTTGCATCATTTTGGGGAATTTGTATTGGTAAAATATTCAGTAACTTCACTCTTACAATGTAGAGTCTCGTACAATGTAACTCAATCAATTCACACAGCAAGGGTCTCTTGTTGATTATACTACACCACTTATTTGGGGAAAAAACAAAATAAAAGCTTTAGCAATGACAGACAATTTTGGAGAATTTTAATCAGGAAGAAATACTCAGTAGCTTCGCTCCTATATGGTGTCAATTAGTGGCACTGAAACACAGGGGAGCCAGTACTATCAAACTATCCAATTCAGTTTAACTCCACTGGTCTTGGTCTTGTCTCGGTCAGTGATCTTTTTCTTGACTTAGTCTCAGTTTAGGTGGTCTGGACTACAGCATTACTCTGAAACAAATCAGCTGTACCCCACCCCCTGTCTCTTATCTTTTGCAGCTGACAGCAGGTCCCAAGTGCAGCGAGCTCGCTACGAGGCAGCCAACTGGCAGTACAAGTACGGTTATGAGATTCCAGTGGACATGCTGTGTAAGAGAATTGCTGACATCTCACAAGTGTACACGCAGAATGCTGAGATGCGACCACTGGGCTGCTGTAAGTATGGATTCTATTTATTTATTTATTTTGATGTATGGTTTTTATTTTTGTCAGAAGTGTTGTGGTTTTTTTGTCTCCTCCCCCCCCATCTACAAACCCATGTGTCTTCTGGAGCAGGCCTTTTGTGAATTGTCAGAGCAGACTGCCAAATGGCCAACATGTCTCAGTGACTGTCCTTTCTGGTGCCGTTTAACCTGCAGGTATGATCGTGATCGGCGTAGATGAGGAGTACGGCCCCCAGGTGTACAAATGCGACCCAGCAGGCTACTACTGTGGCTTCAAGGCCACAGCTGCCGGAGTGAAGCAGACAGAAGCTACCAGCTTCTTGGAGAAGAAAGTGAAAAAGAAACTGGACTGGACCTTTGAACAAACTATTGAGGTATATAAAGTCTAGCTACACTGATGTAGCACAGGCTGATAATAAAGCAACATTAACGTGAAAGTAACCTGTGAGGTTTTTCATTTTATAGCATTATGTCATCTTATATAACGTATAAAGCAATGGAGCTACCATCAGTGGGGATAATTAAATGATGAAATGAAAATATCAGAAACCTGATCTCACTCCTTCCTCCCTTTTATGTCCTCCCCCGTTTCCCTCTTTTAGACAGCCATTTCCTGCCTGTCAACGGTTCTCTCCATTGACTTCAAGCCCTCTGAGCTCGAGGTGGGCGTGGTCACAACACAAGACCCCAAGTTCAGGTAAAAACACCAGCAATACATGGTGATTCAGCAAGGACCCATTGTGTGGCAGTTAACACTTTTAAGATGAGAACAGCACTTATCAAAAGAATTAGTTTTATCTTTGGTTTTTAAGGCAGATATTGTGTTTTATTACTGTCATCACCATCAGTCACTGCTCACATTCAACGTAATGTTAAAGGCTCTTGTTAAATAAGTAGCGTCCTAACAATACTGAAATTCATGGGGTGTGACTAACCTTCATTTTCATTATCAGTTAATCTGCTGATTATTTTCTCAATCACATTTGTCTGCAAAATGTCTAAAATAACTGAGTAATGCCTAATTTCCCACTGTATAAGGAGATGTGCTCAGATCTCTTCATTTATTCAACCAGCAGCCTAAAACTATTATACGCCAAAGATAAACATGAAATACAGAGAAGCCGTAAGCACTGAATTTTTGACATTTTCACTTGAAAAGCAAGTCAGTCCACTGATTTTCTGTCAAGTCGTTGCAGCGTAGTTAGGGTTAAAATAGATTTTGGAAATGAGAATCATCGTCTGTCTCTCATTTCCTCTCAGGATGCTGACAGAGACTGAAGTGGACGCCCACCTGGTGTTTCTTGCAGAGCGGGACTGAGCGAGCAGAGATGTGTCACCTGTTGGATTTCAGTTAGCGCATGATGGGATTTGCAGTTCCCAGATGGAGACTGGCGTTATCTTTGTTTGCTGTACATTACCCCACTGTTTCATTCAATAAAAAAAAAAGTTTTTGGAGTAAAATAATTCTCCTTGGTAATGTTTTAATATTTATTTTGGAACATAGGATTTTTCATATCTGGGTGCATATCTTGTTTTTTTTTTTTTACTTCACATAAAAGATTTACAATACAATTAACTTTACAACCTCTGGCCATGTTATCAGTTGCATTTAGCAGCAGGGGAAAATGTTAAACGGGAACATAAGCGAGTGAGAACTGTACCATACCTCTGAGCTTCCTGTTGTGTCTGAAGCTCTAAAAATCACATGACATACCGAGCTCCTGTGGGTAGCTTATTTTACTACTCGACAAGTGATGTAGATCAGATTTGACCTAATTTTCTCAAACATTTTAACCACTTGTAGCATGTCAGAAATAGATGGCAGTGCTTCAGCTCATAGAACACGTTTCTCTTTGCAAAGGGAAAATGTGTTTCTCATAATACTGCAGAATGGTTTTGACAAAGCTGACATATGGGCTGTAGTGTGTGTTTCGGGAAGAAATTAAGGCCAAGTGTTCTAGTAAATGACCTTGTTCGGCTCAGCTTCTAGACGAATCACATCGGAAATGATGTTGAACACGTCATTCTCAGTTGCTTTTACACTATGGACAGTCTCTTCACATCATGTCTTGCCCTCCTAACTTGCCATGTGAGTTATCTGAATCAGAAACAGAAATCAGCAAAAATGTCATGTCATCTCATCTGAAATGTCTTTCTAATCTTTGGGACTTTTGCTTTGAGTAATAGTTACATGTCTCCTAATTCCTGCTTTCCTTAGTAAGAACTTGCCCCCCCACGGTTCCTGTACAGGTCTACAGCCCTGAGAACAATCACATTACACCATTACACTTAATCACTTAGGAACATTTCCTGAGTGACTGTTGACTCCAGGTTTACTTCAGACTGGGAAATGAAGCGAGTACTGTCACATAGTTGAGGTAATTCCTTTCTGAAAAATTCCTGGCACTTGTGTACGTATCAAACTTCCCAAAGTTGCCTGATCATTATGACACAGCAGTTAATACTAACTCTAGTGCATTTCCTCACTTTGTAAAAGACCTTCCATCTGTACAAAATGTGCTTTGTGTTTCTACCTCATGTTAGTTACTAGGTGCTATTCAACAATGGTTCCAGGGCAGGGTGGAATATTTTAAGTACACTATGTTCCTCTTGTACTGCCCAGGGACTTTCAACTGAGTGACTCAGAGACCTGGTGATATCTTCGCCCCAACAAGGAAATCCCAGACTATTCCAAATGGCTGAGTGTGATCATTTTGGTCTGGGTGATGACTGTCTTCCTCAGCACTTTGGTAAGAGAGAAATGATGCTTGTTTTACAATGCGGAAAGGCCATGAAAGAGTTGTCATGGGGGAGAACACCCTTATATACAGTGGAGGAAACATGAATCAAAACTCTTAATATTCATAGACTTATTTTTATTCTGAGCATTTTTGTTAATAGTGTTTAAATTCACACAACATACGGTATATGTACACGTACAAAAATAATATCTCTGTATTTACAATATATTACGTCTTCTCTGGTATATACACATCTATATATTTATACATTATACAGAAGGACTGTATGGAGGTCATAGTCTTTGGTGTTTTGGTTTTTGGCACAGAGTTCTGTGATCTGGACCAGACATGACCAGACTGACACCATCTTCATTCATGTTTGTGATCCCGGGGCCAGCACCTGTGGGCTTGGATCTGGACGGGGGGACGGACACTGTTTTGTCCCTCACTGGGACCCATGGCTGGGCAGCCCAGTAGCAGCTTCACTGTCGTTGACACCTCCAGTAGAGAGATGGTTCTGTTTATTTCCCGAATGTTATATCGTCATACAGCTAGAAGCAAGAAAACAAGAAAAAAAACAAAACAGTAAGTAACCTACCATTTAAAGACCAAGTTAAAAGAAATCCTTGGGTGATTCAGCCTATATGACACCCCATAATTCTGCTGTTCTGAATCAGATACTGACCTCATCTTCCGACAGGTCCAGGTCCTCCATATCGCTCTCATCTGATTCACTGTCAGGCAGCTCCCTCAGCTCCTGTGCTGTCTTTTCATAGAGCTGGCAGCGGATCTGTTCGTTCTGGCGCCCATAGGTGAGGTGGTACGCCGTGAAGCCACCGTAGTTCAAGCTGTTAACATCAGCGCCGAGCTCGAGGAGACAACGGACCAGTGCCGGGTTCTGAAGATCCACAGCAAGATGAAGTGCTGTTCGCCCACTGCACTGCTCCTACAGAAAACATCACGAAAAACGTAATGTTAGGTAAACCTGCTTCTCCTTTGGGTGTTATTTTCCAAATAAAGTGATGCTGGCTGTCTTCACTTAAAAGTTAATGACACCTACCTGTGCATTGATGTCTGCACCCAGCTGAACAAGGCTTTCCACCAGTGAAATGTAGCCGTTGATAGATGCCAAGTGGAGACAGTTATGTCCTGGGAAGAGAAAAAGTAGAAAAGAGTTGCTTAGCAAAGTCAAGAAGCAAACAATGGCAAAGTAAACAAAATCTGTGTGCGTAGATGTTTGCTTTTATCTCAGTACTTACCACTGTAGTTGGGGAAGGACAGGATGGAGGTGAGGTGGCGCTGGCAGTTCTGAGTAATGAGGGCGAAGCAGGCGAGGGAGCCCTTCTTACAAGCAATGTGCAGAGCCGTGTTCCCACTGTTGTCAGCCAGCCTTGGGTCACAGCCGGCCTTCAGCAGCTTCTCCACCAGCTGCAGCTGCTCTGTGATTACTGCTAGATGGAGGGCAGTCTATGGAAAGGGATTTAAAATGGACATTTAATCATTATAGTATTTTATACCACTTTGTGTGTGTTGAAAAAGAAAAAAACTTTAGTGTTTGATTTTGGTTATTACCTGTCTCTGGTGATTCTGTATGTTGAGAAAGGGGTGACTGTGGGACAGCTTGATCATCTGGAGGGCATGCTCAGTGGCTTCATGAATGATGGCCAAGTGCAGAAGCCTGCATGGAGGGGGGGGGGGGGAAAAAAAAAGGGGGGGGGTAATAGCCTTTAAAAAAAAATACGCACGGAGGAAGTGGTTCCAGCCCAGTAAGAAAGAACAAAGCCTGAACAGTGGAGCGTTTCGCAAGAATGGAGTTTTGTAGGGTTATTTCCACCAGTTGTGGCTTGACACATCTGATGCTTTATCAGTTACTGGCAGCGGGCCAGGGACTTTCCTGAACGCGCAGCGCAGACTTTAGCACAGCCCAGACTGCGCTCTCAGCCAAAGCGCGCGCGCGCACGCACACACACACACACACACACACACACACACACACAGAGTACGAGCTGTACTTTCCGCACACACACGCCACTTGTTTTCATGCAAAACCATACATTTTCATGCGCACTTTTGCAGTGTTTCATATTTTTAATGCACTGGGTTTGACGTTTAGAAGATGCGCATTAGTGCAAAACTCCTCTTTTTGATTTACGGAGAAAGCTCATATTTGCAAACGCCTAATTGTATTTTTAATCAAATATACAAATTCCACTTACGTGTCACCGTCTTCAGTCACTGCAGTTCTCCAAGTCTCGTACTCGTGTGTGTGTGCCTGTGAGCCCAAAGTCAACTCGTCAAAGTCGTTCACCAGCTCGTCTTCTTTCAGGGAACCCAGTCCGCTGTCCAGACGGTCGTCCTGGCAGGGCAGCAGTTTCCCATGTTTCGGATCCATATTATCGACATTATAATCCATTTGATTGTGGTTAGGCACTCCGTGGACGGCCATGCTGACTTCGCGACTGTCAGAAGAAACAGCTAAGTCTCTATCCAAAGATCAGGGCAGAGTGAAGTAGCTGAAGGAAGCGCACTGGGTTTTGTGCACTCTGTGGGGCGGAGCTTCGGTGGGGATTTCCAATTGACTTATCTTAGAAAAGCAAGGGAAATCACATCGAGCTGTGCTTTTGTGAGGAAACCCCCTCCCCCCCTAAAAGACTCAGAATGAAAACATGTAGTTTCCTATTAGACACCTATTTTCACCTGTTATGTAGGTTAGGGGATATGTCGTTATTTATTTCAATGAATGAGACATGATGGCCATGAATGAGCGACAGACAGCCTCTGTCTAGCTACTGAAGGATTTCCTTCTGCACTGGGGAAATTATCTGTTTCAAGTGGCTAACCAAAGTAGAAATTTCATATTTTCTAGTTCATGCTTTTGGCCTGATTTGCCAAATTTAAACCAACTTTTAATGCTGCTATGAATTCTGCGGTTGTTTTTACCATGCAATACATAAATTGTACTCCCAAAGCACATTTATGTTTCATCTCAACATTAGGTTCCTACACATGTAAATGACACAAAATATAAGGAACACATTTCTACATTTTGGTGCGTAATTATGCATTTTTGTGTGCATTCTTTGTCGCCATCAAATACTTTTACCATCTCAGAAGACCTGAGACACATCTGGATAATTTCATTATTATGATCAGACCTACCAAATGTGTTACTTTAATCCTTCTATTATAAAAATCTTGTTCTGACAGTATGCATGTAAAAATATTGCATGTTGTGAGAAAATGACAAATATATACACCCAGCATATTCAGGGGACAGATTTCCACACTTGTTGCTGTACATGATTACACTATGTGCCCAAGTACAGACGAGGGGGGAAGATTCTAAAGTTTCCTCATGGAGACTCCTTATGAAACTGCATATACCACAATAGGATGTTCTGGACTTGCCCATCTAGCACTGCACATACAATCCTGCACAAACTTGCTTTGAGTCTGGAAAACACTGTGTCAAGTCCTGCAGAAAACCTATAACTTTTGGTAAAAAAAACAAAAACCTTTTTCTTTTTTACACCCAGTGTTTTGACTCTTCCTGTAATCTTTTTCTCTTTTTTGCATTTTTCCAGTGTTGCTTTGAGGAAAGTCTTAAAAACCAAGTTCCTTTGTCTTTCACAACACTGGCTACCTATCTGTGGTCCCCTGACATTTAAAGTAAAATTCCCAGGATTAGTTCTGTTTACACTGTGAAAGGTAGGCTTGGTGAAAACATAGCAACAGTATCCAAGGGCGGTGAAGCGTTCACACCTCTCGGGCAAAACCCATTTGAGATTATAGCCTGCTGCAGGAACCAGATGCACGCATACACCTATACACACCCAGCAGGGCTGTGATGTCACTCTTCAGCAGGCTGTTCTTCTGTCTGTCTGTGAGTGTGCGTCACATCAGACAGACACCAGTTGTGCAGGCGCAGACCATATCTTCTGTGTGTCTTTCTTGAATTCCGCACATTCTTTAACCTCTGCCAAGTATCATAATGAGGCATCTGGGGACAATCCGTTCTTGCAGCCCTGTGTTTTCTCCTGTAGCCAAGCTTCTGTGCTTATGTGTGTTTATAAGGTCAGATTTACACTCTGTATGGGAAATACTGGGACTTCCACTTTACATCTCTGAGAACCTTATAACTTTTTTTTTTTTTTGCAATGCTGTGCAAGTGCTCTTGTCATTTGCTTTCTGTTTACTTGTGGTTGCTATGGGAACCAACTACTGAGAAAACACTGACGCCAGTTCAGTGTCAGGTGCTGTGTGCTGCCCTCTGTCTGTGTGTTGGTAAAAAACCACTTAGCTAAGCCAGCACCTTAGGGTGAATCACAACCCTGTCAGTGAAGTACTGAGGTCATGAAACTTGATGTGCGACCAACCACTTAACCATCCTCCCTTGCATTATTTACCAATGCAGTTTAATATAACATTCCTGTAAAACATACTACTGTGTGATGGACAAAACATTCCAAAACATTGAAAATAGATCATTGTAACCTTTATGAGAGCAGAATTTATTCCAGAGCTGTTGAGCTGCATTAACTGGGTTTTTATTTGAGGTTGGATTTGTTAGGGATACCTAATAAAGTGACAAATGAGTGTGCAGTCTAGCCAAGCGACAAGAAAATTCAACCTCACATTCCCCTGAAGCGTAAATCAGTTAAATACTTTATTAAAATATTGCAATTTATGATAATTAAAAAGCAGATTACATGATCCTGATTTTGTATATCTCTCTGTCAGAAGGTTACTTTCCAGTACCCTAATTTCAGCAATTATTTAGCAGCACTAGACACTAAAAATGTTATGTAAGAGTGATTGGTACCTAAATTTGGTACCTTATTATTATTATTGTAAAGAACAGTTTGACATTTTGGGAAACATGCTTATTCAGTTTCCAGCTGTGAGTTACATAAGAAAATCAGATCAACTGCTAAATGGAGTCAGAGTTAAGAGATGTTAACTTAGCCTTTAGACTAGACGCAGGCAGGAACAGCGCATTATTTTTATTTAGCTTATTACACATTAGCTTTAGAGGTGTTGGTGGCATTTTTTTAAACTTTGGAGAGAGTCTGGCTAGCTGTTTCCAGTCTATAAAATAAGATAATCTACAATAAGATAACAATGTTCTGGTTCCATAATTAGCATACATAGATAACTGTATCACATTTGTACTTGTTTGTAAATTACAAAGCTTTGAGGTGCTGGTATGTGCATTTTTTATTTTGCAGTGAGGCAGAACTAGCTGTTTCCACAAGCTTTCAGTCTTTAAGCTACATGAAGCCAAAAGTCTGCAGCTCTAGCTCTATAGTTAACATGAGAGTGGTATTAACCATCGAATGTAGCTTTTGTTAGGAAAGAGAATAAGCACACTTCCCAAAATACGCTATTTGACCAAGCACATACTTGAAAAGCGTAATGTAAATTAAATGTAAAATAAGAAGTAGTGAATATTTTATGCTTTCTTTGACTAGAGGGTCATGTTGTTTGATAAATACTGGATTATTTAATTTTGGCTCTCTCATGTATGTTAGCAGCTTGTGTCAGTAATCTGCAACTAGCTCAGCTGTATAAAAATAGCTTCAGGTTCCCAGGTGTGTGCTTGTTATTCATGACAACCTCCCTCCTGTTTCAGAAGGAAGTTCTTACTCTATTATTATAGTAATCACTCAGTGGACACTGACAGTCAGCCTCAACACATTTCTGGTGTGGGCTCAGTGACACAGCAGTTTTACACCCAGTTTATATGAACTACACCCACTTCATGTTTTCAAAATCCTGCTGTAAAAATGAGTATTTAAATATGAGGAGTTCACACATAGCTGTTTTCCATGGTTTGTATTAAATAATGATTAGACAAGCTCGCTGCTTAACAGTATGAGTCAGGCTGTTATTTAGTCAGAGGGACTTCACCACAGTGTTACATGTGTAATGTTATAAAGTGGTTGTTATCTCATATTAAGCAGATACTGTGCTATTCATGCATGTCACATTGCATTGACATGACGTTTATAGTCATGACGAGTAGAAATGAATAAAGTTAATACTATGTGACCTTTGCATGACCTGGTCTATTTATCTCATTCAAGGAAACAAAGAAAAAATTACAAGAAACATCACTGATCTTGTGTGTTTCCTGGAAAAATTGCTTCAAACATGTTTCCATACCTGTAAAAAGAACAGTTATTCCTTTGCAGTGGCAGGAGATGGTCATGAGGTTTTCATGGTCTGAATGTTGGGAAAACAAAGTGATTTAACATCTTTCTAGTGTTGCAGCTTCTGAAAATGGGACTTCAGACATCAGAGACTGACTGAAACCACCAAAGTTGAGGTAAAAATTCTTATGGCCTCCCCTTTGTTGCATCGGTTTCATGCTGAATGTGCAAATGCATGTTTTTTCGGGGAAGAGTGGGTGTTTTTCGGAGAAAGGGTAATACCTTTAATTCCCTTCCCAGGCATTCCCACAGTGTTACATACATGCACACACATAGCAAGATGAATGTATGCAAAATAATGTGTTGTCCTACTGCCCTACTGCCACTAGGAATCTCTCATGATGATAGTATCATTATCAGGTTCACAGGTATTGGTTAAGTTTTAAAGCAGCAGGTTTCCTCATGAAATACAGTATTTAACATGCAGATATTATTGTTTTTATTTGCACAGATATTTAGGTTTCACGCCTGTGACTTCTGTGCCGGTCCCAAGCCCGGTTAAATAGAGAGGGTTGTGTCAGGAAGGGCATCCGGCGTAAAAACGTGCCAGATTTACCCATGCAAATCAGATTCGCTGTGGCGACCCCTAACAGGAACAACTGAAAGTAGAGGAGATTTGCATAGATATTAGATTTCTTTAAAACACCAGTTTGACATTCACTGGCTTGCTGGGGGTTAGATGAAAAGATTTACTGTATATACTCTAAATATGAAGCTAGAGCCAGCAGCTGATTAGTTTAATAAAAAGTCTGCATAACGTATTAATTAGTTACCTTTAGCGGTACTGGCTAGATGTTTTTCCCTCTTTCCAGTTTTTAAGCTAAACTAGTTTCAGGATAATTTCTGAACCTGTTGACTCGAGCTTTATATTTAGTGAACAGACTTGATAGTTGCATCAGTCTTCTCCCTAATGCTCAGCAAGAAGGTGTATTAGAGTGTTCTCTAGAATGTTGACCTTTAAGCACTTGTATCCAATTTAAGGTGTAGCTTCAAAGACGGTAATGAAATAGTGAGCCAGAGGGACTGTAAGGTCTCAGGCTGTGTGTTCTGCAATGCAAGAGGTAAATGGATTTAGGCATAATCATTAAAATTTTAAATTGATTCTACAGTGGTGAGCAGAGGAGGAATGCTAATGATGGGGATTTACAAATGCTTTCCAGGGGCCCGTTGAAATACTTGGCGCTGCATACTGAACAAGCTAGACATGTAAGAGTAACCTTTGTGTGAAGCATGAATGGAAGGATGTGCAGTACTTCAAAGGAGCACGACAGACCACAGAAGAAGCATCACAAACCAACTTCAGCTTGATTTTGTTTTTTGTTGTGTTGTTGTCTTTTTTCAAATGTAGAAGGCAAGTCTTCACCTGTATCTCTACTTGTTCAAAAGTGAAGTCAGAAATCCAGTCACTGGGTACCAGGCAGTAGAAAAGGCAATAATGATCACCATGATTCTTAAGATTTTTAAGAAATAGAAATGGAACATATGCTAGTTGTCCATAAACTATGGGTCTGTGTTCAGTTCTTTTCATTCTTAAGTTTTTCCTACATTCTTTTGTGTACAACTCTATTGAGTATCCATGATGTTAGCTGTCTCTAATTTTAACTGTGTAAGAAAAAATGTTCAGTATTATGAAATAAACCACAAAGACAGCTCAGACTTTCTGCTAGCACACTCTTCTGGCCTAAATACAAATTAGACCAGCAAAGTTTCCTCACATACTTGCAGCAGTGTGAAAATGGATATGACTGGCAGTATGCAACTCACCACGGAAACAGTGAGGCTGCAGTACTAACAGCAAATGAATTGAGAAAAATCTTTCACTCTTTCATATTCTTGTGTGCATTTTGGGATGTTTAGGCAGGTCCTCTGTTTGTTCTGTCAGGGTACCGGTCATCACAAGTAAAAGTGCAGCTTCTTGCTTTGTGGGTTACTTACACCAATGACTGGTCTTAATGGTTAATGTTCACAATTACAAGTATCTATTGCATTAAGCATAAATGTAGCATTAATATGTAGCAAGCATTAATATTAATGTTCATATTTTAAAGCTGTAATCCATTCCTGCATTGATTAAAATGAAAAAACTGAGAAGCTACTGTATCATTTAACTACCTACCAAAGGTCTTTATCGCTCTCCTGTGGATGAAATGTGAACTGCAGGTCCCTCTCTCTAGATAAAACGCACTAAAACACTTACATATATCTTAAAATTACATAGTAACAGGAAGGAATAGGGTGAATAAAATTCCATATTACCATACATGTAATTTTAGACTGCAATATAGTGTGATCAATTTGTGCCTGGGAAGCTAATTCAGCTAATTAATACTTGACAAATCAAGCTCCTTTTAGGAGTATTTAATTATCATGCCTAAATGTATTTTTGCCATCTAGTAATATTTATATTTACACTTTTGCCCACAATGGCCTATAAACCCAGAGATATTAGAGCGATAATTTCCTAGGGGGTATATTACAACATATCTGGCAGTATGAAAAAATAAATTAATCATACAAACCATATTTCATTAATCCCAGTTCTACACCCCATGCAATATGGACAAAATACTGTGAATAATTTCCAGTCTTAGAAAAACCAACTACTACTTTCAGTGCTTTCTATTTGTACAGATTTGACAAGCAAATTAGAACTAAAATGTCATTATTTGCCATAAGTCAAATGTTTAAGCAGAATTTTAAAATAAGGCATCTCAAATGTAAATGATAAATATCTTCACTTGTTCACATGTATAAGTATATACAATGTTGGTCTCTTGTGCTTGAATTTACACACCTGCAGCCATAGCACATTGGTTTTATAAACATTGCTACTAGTGGAACACTGGGATGCAGTTTAGTGGATTTTTACTGACAGAGAAAGTCAACATGATGGACATTTACTGGTTTTCTGTCACTATATTATTCATTCACTTCATTAGACCAAGTGAACAAATGACCTAGATACTGTGTGCTGGAATGAAGGAATATTTCGTTTTTCAAAGTACTGCAGTACTTTTCTAGTGAAACACCAACTCACAAACACACACATGCTCCCACACCACAACTCCAGCCTCCACCAACTCCTCAGTCTGTCTGTCACTGCCACCCAGGTGAGTGAGGAGCGATTCAAACAGTGAGTCAGACAGCTTTAGCCCCAGGCTGCTTGAATCATCTGCCAGTCAGCTACCAGACTGTTCAGCACCTCCTCAACGTATCCCTGCAGCTGCACAGGGTGCTGTCACTGTGAAAAACTACCAACTGCTTCCAGTGGCAAACAATAGGATTTAAGTTCCCCGACTAACTATGATGGTGACACTTAAAGCTTGGACAGAAAATCTTTAAGTCATGAGTCAGCACATAGGCCTATGATACTTTATATCTCTTTGCTCTTTCCACCTCCACATGGTCTCCTGTAGGTTCGGTAATACATGTACAACATCTTACTGTATCAATTACATGCACAAGTAATGATAATATAAAACAGCACCACATACTATAAGTAATCTTTTATGGTTGTATTTATGTAAGTGTAATATTAATCCTACTTTATAAGCTTATCGCTTTATAAATGTTAATACATCCTTTATTAATGATTTATTAAGCCATTAATAGCTACAGTTTATCAGGTTGCTATGCTGTAAAAATATTACCTTATTAATAAGTTTAAGTTATTAATAGTTGTTGACAAAAGGTCAGGCTGTTAAGCTGTTAATGAACTCTTCATTATGTTGTGATTGTTGTTGTTTATAACGCTGGTCTGGGGTCCTGCTGTACTGAAAGGTTATGGTTCAACAGTCCATTGAGGGGTCTTCATGAGGAGCTAATGAGCTAATAACAAACTGCTTGCTAAAGACAAATTGTGTCAAATCTGTCATGTCTTTATGTGAACACAGCTGGACAATGAAAGCCATTAAAGACTATGTGGCCTGGGTAAGTAGCCTACAGTACAGCCTAGTATAAAGTACATAAACATAACATGTAGCGGGGGAACATTAGGCACTTGTGACTTCCTGTCTTTCAGCACACCTCAAAAAAACAAAACAAAACAACAACATCACAATATAGTGATTTCCTGTACATGACAGGCAAGTGTCAGGTGTTCAGAAAATGTTAAATAAACTACAAATCCCTAAAACCCTTCCGCGGCAATTAGTTACCTAGCCAACATGTGATTGGACAAATTCAGCAAAGCCTCTTGTTATTGGTCGACGATGGCCATGTTTCATTTCCATCTGTTTAGATGCGGGCTAGCTAACCGGTTAGCTACCTGAGCTACATTTGGCTTGTTTTTTATTCGGGGTAAAATTAACGAACAGCCCTGTCACCCCGTTAACACTAGCTTACCTGTACGCCGCAATGCCGGTTCACTCCCGAGAGAAGAAAGAAAGTAACCACGAAGAAATGGAGGTGGATTTTCCCGAGCAGGACGGCAGTAGCACAGACGAAGAAGACACCGTTAGCTCGACCGTGTCTGAAGATGGAGACAGCTCGGGTAGGAAAAATAGGCCTTAAATATCAACTCACAGCTACTTTTGAAAACATGCTTGAATGTCAGACATGGGCTAAACAAGATATGCGATTGCTATCACAAATTAGTTGACATTTTGGTATAGAATCGAGTGGAGACGCAGAAATGTTTACAGTGGTTGAGAAGAAAAGGAGTTTACGTGAAGTGTCAAATCTGTCATGTCTCCATGTGAACAGAGATGGACGATGAGGACTGTGAGAGGAGGAGGATGGAATGTCTGGATGAGATGACCACCCTGGAGAAACAGTTCACAGACTTGAAGGAGCAGTGAGTTCTTCTCCATATTGCTTTCAGCAATATATAGCCTTCACTGAATGCTGTCCATCCTGAAATAAATGCTCGTCATTCTCATCTGGCCGCTTAGGACACTCCCCCATAGGCACATTAATCACTGTGATATTTTTAAAAGCAGACAAGTTCACATTCCATAGTCAGTGACATGGCCCATGCATTGAAATCTCATCATTGTGGAAGCGATTAACCTCTCTGTCAAGCAGGGTCAGGTTACTGGTCCCAGTACGTTCCACAGTGATGGACAGGTGTGTTTTCTGTATGTTTGGGGAAAAAAGGTGATAATTCAGTTTGAGAATTGCACATCATCCTCCAGTCAAGTCTGATCTAGCAGCCATTCTGTGTGCAACATTAACTGGCCTCCTTTTGGAAGTGACATTGTGTTTTGAAAATGTCTTTGGCTTTTAATTTGGTAAACCTGGCTGGTGAATTTGAGAAACTTAAAAGTGTTACTGCCATACCACTGAATCATGTTCTGAAGAAATAAGGACATGAATTTTGCCCCTGCTTCTTGGTTTATTCTTCTAATGTCTACAGCTTTTCATTGCATTCCTTGTGTATGACCACTGTGGTGACTGTTACTAGACTTACAGCAATTTCAGTGATGATCAAGCTTCAGTCTCAGTCTAGGCTTATGAATTGATGTGTGTTGCTTCCTTGTTTTATGCTGTTTAGGTTGTATAAGGAGCGTCTGAGCCAGGTGGATAGCAAGCTACAGGAGGTAATGGCTGGCTGTGCCCAGGAATACCTGGAACCTTTAGCCAATCTGCAGGAGAACATGCAGATCAGGACCAAAGTGGCTGGTGAGTCCAACATTGCTATCATGTCTTCAACCTGTTGGCAGCCTTATTTCAGAAGGTTTCTCTCTTCCTGTTGCTGTTCTTTCTTTTAGCAACGACAGCACTGCCTGTTAGCTGCTTCTGTGTGCATTAGGTTTTAGACCTGGTACATTGCTCATTGTTTGCTTTGCTGTCAGATTGATTTACCACCAGTGTTTGCTGCAGGCATCTACAGGGAGTTGTGTTTGGAGTCTGTGAAGAACAAGTATGAGTGTGAGATCCAGGCTGCTTCCCAGCACTGGGAGGTGAGAGGTTTCCTTGCATTTTCCAGGCTAAAATACATTTTGTTCAACCAGATGATTGCCTCTGTAACATACCAAGTCCACTTTAATAATCAATTTCTCTCAACATACAGTGGCAAGAAAAAGTATGGGAACCTTTTGGAATTTCATGGATTTCTGCATTAATTTGTCATAAAATGTGATCTGATCTTCATCTCAGCCAAGAGTATGGATGAATACAATGTGCCTAATATAACGCAAAAAAAATTCAGATCTTTCATGCCTTTATTTTAACACACTCATTCAACATTCAAAATGGTAGTGGAAAAAGTAAGTGAACCCCTGGAATTAATAACTGGTCAACCGACCGACCCCCCTGCATTGTTTACCGTCTATTTATACTGCTTTTTCTGCATTGTTTGTTGATGTTAATACTGCTATTTTGTTATATTACACAGCCTTATGCTGGTTTACTGTTTGCACATTGAGAGCCGATGTACCAGAGTCTAATTCCTCGTGTGTCCGTCACACCTGGCAAATAAAGCTGATTCTGATTCTTTTTAGTAAGCAGCAGCTTCCTTCGTAGTGTCCTGCCATAGACACCCAGCTTGTTCAATGTTTTATGTACTGTAGACTCATGAACACAGATGTTATCCAGTTCCAATGATGCCTTCAAATCTTTGGCTGTCACTCGAGGTTGTTTCTTTACCTCATTGATGAGTCTTCGTTGTGCTCTTGGGGTCATTTTGACTTGGCGCCCACTTCTTGGTAGAGTAGCCACCGTCCCAAAGTGTCTCCATTTGTAGATCGTTTGCCTAACTGTAAACTGGTGAATTTCTAAAGTCTTTGAAATCACTTTATAACCCTTTCCAGCTTTAGGTAAATCAACAATTCTTGATCGTAGATAATCTGAAAGCTCTTTTTGGTGAGGCATGGCTCACATAAGCATATTCTTCTTGTGTGGAGCAAACTCAAAAGGAATAAAGACATGGAAGATCAGAATTTGTTTGTGTTGTTACACATTGTATTCATCAGTACTCTTGACTTAGATGAAGATCATGTCACATTTTATGACAAATTAATGCAGAAAACCATGAAACTCCAAAAGGTTCCCATACTTTTTCTTGCCACCGTATGTGCTACCTGAATGGAGTAAATTTAACTTGTGTTCCTCCTCAGGAGATGATTACTGGGGTCTGTTCTGTCTTTCAGAGTGAGAAGTTGCTGCTGTTTGACACTGTGCAAAGTGAACTGGAGGAGAAAATAAGAAGACTGGAGGAAGATAGACACAGTATTGACATTACCTCAGGTACCAACTAGAGCTGCAACCAACAGTTGTTTAATAAAATATTGTTTAGATCTATTTGTTTAGCTTTTCAGTAAAATTCCAGGAATATGTTATATGATAATTATGCAAAGTTTGCATTAATTTATTTATAATTTAGAGTGGAAAATGAAGCAAATGGGAGAGAAAGAAGGGACACAGAAGGACAGTATTTTCCTCCCCTCTCTCTAATCTGGCCTATTGGTTTTCCAGAGTTGTGGAATGATGAATTGCACTCACGGAAAAACAAGAAAAAAGACCCGTTCTGCCCTGTCAAGAAGAAGAAGCCTGTTGTTGTTTCTGATATCCTTTACCTGATGCCCTGTCCTTGTCTTATTCCTCCTCTCAGACTACTGTTTTATATTGCACTGTTAAGACAGATGAGTCTCCTCAGCAGAGCTTTCCTTAACCTTTCTATTACGGCCTTATATTGTTTACATGCTGCAAGATCTGGATATTCTTGAAGACTGGACTGCAATAAGAAAGGTATTATTTTGGAACTGGACAAACTAGTCAGCTTGTAAATGTGTCCATGAGGATGCCAAGTTGTGATTTGACCTTTCCAGTTTTCTTTTTCCTCCCCCCCACAGGCAATGGCATCACTGGGTCCACATAGGGTGAAGGTGGATGGTGAGAGTTTCTCCTCATTGTTGGTTACAGTCGGTGTCTGGCTGAGTGCAGTGATCCGCACATAGTTACACAGGAGTTGATTCAGTATTTTATGCAGACAAGTGTTCGAGTTCATTGAAAAGGAGACAGTTATTGCCATTGTCTGTCTTTTTAAAATGTTATACTGTAGTTGTTTTAGTTAGGATGGCAGGACCCTTCTGTTTCCTGTCTTCCTCACTCCTTTTGTTCTTTCTCTACCTTCAGTGCCTATAGTCAAGCCTGACAGACATCACCATGTGGCGCACTCTGAGGATGGTCGACTTTTCTATGACAACCAGTGGTACTGCAGAGGACAGGCCATTTGTATCAACAGGAAGGACGAGTACCCGACTAGGTGTGTTTGTGTGGCAGGAGCACTTAATGAAAAATACAGTGTATTGCTCTTTGTAGGAATGAGAGGGAGGGACGATTTTGGTTCTAGCTAAATATGGGCACTGACACACTTTGTGAGTCTGTGACTGGTCACAAGGTTTTTTTTAATTAAAATAATCGTGGATAGATTTAAACAAAGAGCCGATGTGAGTTAAGCTCAGTGATTGTTATTCTGCTCTATGTAAGTCCTGCCCTGTGTGTTGTCAGGACACAATGCACAGTGAACAGACTATGCATTGATGTCAATGTTTTGACAGCACACCACCACCCCTCTCATCACCTCTGAGTGGCAAAACAAATATATACAGTAAGTGAAATATAAAGTAGATGAGCAATAACACAAATCTAAATAGGCAGTAACACAAATCTAAGGCACTTTAAAGCAGCAAGTGAAGGAAGCACAATAAAAATACAACAAGAACACAATATAGTGCAGAGAGAATATATGCTACATGGGAGCCGCGGAGTGCAAATACTCAGCAGTGAGTGCAATTATGCATGTGCAAAATGACTATGTAAATGGTACAGATGGAATTACATGAGGTAGATCCTGAGTCAGCTGTTTAGGAGGAGTATGATGAAAGAGGGAAAGAAAGAGTTTTTCAGTCTAGAGGTCCTGCATTTCACACTTCTGAACATCCGGCCAGACAGTTGGGGTATGAACAGTCTATGCTGGGGGAGGCTGGGGTCCTTGAGGATGGAGGCAGCTTTCCTACACACCCTGCGGTGGTAAATACTCTGCAGAGAGGGCAGTGGAGTCCTGGTGATCTTCTCCACAGTCTTTACCACTCTCTGCAGGCGCTTGCGGTCCATAGCAGTAGTGCTGCCATACCAGACAGTGATGCAGCTGGTCAAGATGCTCTCAATTATGCATCTGTAGAAGTTGCTAAGGATGCTAGGCGACATGCCAAACCTCCTCGGCCTCCTCCGGAGGCTGTTGGGCCTTCTTGACCAGCTGTGTGGTGTTATGTGTCCAAGTGAGGTCCTCACTGATGTGGACACCCAGGTATTTGAAGCTGCTCACCCAGGGACCAGGTGTGTGCGTGCTTCCTCTCTGTGCTGTGGCTGGAGGTCTCAGAATGGATGTAGAAGGTGTTGAGGTCATCTGGCAGGCTGTCTGTGGAGCTGATGATGCTGGTGGTGGTCCTGTAGTCTGATGTGCTGCAGGCCTTGCCACATCCGTCCGCAGTCGGCAGTAGAACAGAAGCCATTCAGCTTCTCTCTGTACTGCCTCTTGGCCGCTGTGATGGCTTTCCTCAGTCTGTACATCACAGCTTTGTACTCCGTCTCATCTCCTGATCTGAATGTATGAGAGCGAGCACGCAGCATGTGGCGTTCCTGACTGTTTTTCCAGGGCTTCTGTCATCATCAAACACTTCTTGTTGGTTTATCCTTTAATTTGTCACCAGTCTCTGAGTGTATGTCTTTACATCAGGGGAGTTACATTAACACACGTAAGTCTGTCGTTGTGAAACGAGGTGGGCATGAGTCTAATCTCCACTCCTATAATCAGTACATGTAGAATGTGGACTCAGCCTTTTTTAGGACAGCAAAGAAGGAGAAGAGTTTTGCACAATTTGGGCAGCCTATAGCACCCATATCATTCATTTGTCACATGTACCTGTAAATTTTGGCTCAGCCAGGACGATCTCAGTCATCACCAAATGTGAGGTAGGAAACAAATGATTTCATTTGCAGTGGTAATATCAGAACAGATTTCACAAGGTGCTTCACAATAAAAGGCTACAAGGAATGTGATATTCAAGGATTCAAGATTTTTATTTGCCATTTATGCATAAACAGTCTAGGTACAGTGGTGTGAAAAAGTGTTTGCCCCCTTACTGATTTCTTATCTTTTTGCATGTTTGTCACACTGTAATGTTTCAGATCGTCAAACAAATTTATATATTAGTCAAAGATAACACAAGT